AAATTAAAATCTTAAAAAAAGAACCACTTTCTCAACAATAAATAAACAAATGTGCCCCACATAATCTCAAGTCGGAAACAAGCAAACTACATGACAAAAAGCTCAGTACAAAATATTACTGAAACAGATTTTTTTTTTTTACAGTCAAACATTTACATGGAAATTAATTTCCTTTATTTTTTATTTTTTAAATTCCTTAATTCAGTGTTGCTCATGAGCTGGGTACAAGTAGAGTGCTGAGGTAAAACACTGATGAACAGTTTCTTTCTGTATTCTTTTTCTTTTCTTTTTCTTAAAATAGTAACAGTTTAGTATTGCAAGATTGTCAGCAACATTTAGCCATATCTATACAATGTGCATATACCTACAAACATTGAGCTTTGGTCCAGCATTGAGAAGACGAGCAAAGGCATTATACATATTTCTTTTTGGTTATAGCTTGAGTACTTTGACACGCCTCTACTTGTTCCTTCTTAGCTCCTTTTTGCTTTCTTGGTCTGTTTACTTCTTCATTTGCGTGATTAGAACATAAACTGAAAACTTCAGAATGGACTTGGTCTCTTTTTCTGATCTGTACACTCCAAGCCTCAACATTTCTGGCATTGGAACTGTTTCACACACCAAATTAACATCTTTGTGACTCTGAGATAATGTAGTGGTTTGTAGCAGGGAGCTGTTCCAGCGAGTGACTGTGTCCCATCCTTAGCAAAAAAAAAAATAACTTTTTTTAGGGCAGCAAACCTTAGGCTTTAGTGGGAAAAGATGCATCCAGAAATAAAGAACAAAAACCAGCTCAGTAACTCCTGCTAATTCCCTACGCAAAACTTACTTCTCTCCTCAGGAAAGGTAAACCTGACATGCCTCTGGCCTGGCTTGGACGCACTACTACTAATACATCGCATTACAAGAAGCAGCCCAGCAGCCATGAGCAGGAGCTGGCAGCTTCTGTTTTCATTGTCGATGGATTGCAGATTGCCTTGCCATTTGATCCCAGACATGCTGCAGTTAATCTGAATGGAAACAAGCCTACTTCAAACCACAATTTATGAATTTGGCTTGTTTTCACTAACCACAGTGCAGAAGAACCACAGTTTAGGATTTGGATGACAAACTAGACTGCAGTAATTCCAAAACAAAAGTGGAAGCTTCCAAGCTTCCTGTCTCCTCCCGGACACACTTCAGGAAGTGTGTGTCTGTGTGTGTGTGGGGGGGGGGTTACCAGCTTTGAGAGAGATTAGAATCATTACGGTAATAGAAAACCATGGTTTAGCATTACATCTTAATGAAGCCGTTATCTCCAGTAAGAAACGGGCTTGTTTTCTCCTCCACTATTTGCTAGTGTGCTATATTTTCGTCACCGCCCAAAGGTGGCTTCGTATATAATTGCTGTGTATATAATTTGAGCAGGATCCCATGAGCTGCTCATGGGAAAGCTTTCTTCCTGCAGCTCCTCAAGCGCCCTGGAAACCACTCTTGAGGGTTTGGGGGATGTTTCCAAAGCAGCATAAGGGGCTGTGGTTAAAGGGGACGTTGACAGAACCCTAGTACACGCATGGGAATGTTCTAGGTGTGTGTACCAGAACAGATTTACAAATAGAAATAATAAATATTGTTTGGGGAGAGGAAAAAAAATCTCCCTATACCTGCAGCCTTTATGAGTTACATATACATATAAGAATTTGTTCAGGCACTCCGTTATGCCTCCGAGCGAAAAAACTGATTGTTAAAAACGAACCTAACACTTTCCCTTGTAAAAATAAGTGATAACAACCAGAAAAAACTATTAAAAAGAGAACATTATGACATGTTAATGGTTCCATGAGTACAAAGATGAAAATCAAAAAACTTGTTTCATGATGGCAATTTATTTCATTTTATATTATCACCGTCCTAACTTACACAATTTCAGTGTGAAGTTTAGAAAGGAAATAGTTTCTGTCTAACTGTTGCTGTGATGGTTTTAAGTGTTTTATACAGTCTTTGGTTAATGTTGCTTCCTGGAAATTTCATTTTTTCCCCCTTTCCATTGCAGACTTTTTAACTGTTCCATGGAGAATCTGACATCTAAGTTTTTAAGCAGCAAATGGCTAGTATATTTTTGCTTCCAGGAGCAAGTCTCTGGTTTTGATGATATTTGAGAATGGGAAAAAGAATGACTGGGGGAGATGGGCAGAGCACTAGGAGATGGGCTTTCAAAGTTCTACGAGCTCTTGACAGTTTTCTAGATAATTTGTGGCTGGTCTCCTGATACTCCTGACAGTTTTAATTTCAAGTTCATCCTAACTAGGGTGGAGATGGCAAGCTTTGTTGTTGTTGTTTTAAATTAAGCTGCTGTTGTTAAAACTGAATTTTGGCAGTTATTGATTATCAGGGCCAGATGATGGATGTGAACATCTGTACTAAAATCCAGACTTGACATGGGACTTTTTCCAACCCATGGCCAATCCAGAAATTTAATCATTCTTACCTACTGCAGTAGGATTTAAATTCATGATTTCGATTACAAAGAAGCACACCCTTTGCTGTAGAGCAAGTTCAGACCTCAGCCTATAAGTTGAACTATAGGTGTTCATAGGCAGAAGAAGTAGTCAGTCCTATGATCACATTGCTAACATGAGCAGAAATCTACTCTCTGCCAAAAACAAACAAACAAAATAAAAACCTAAAACGCACAGGCTTTGTGAATAGTTTGTACATGCCCATCATGAATCACCATTTCTTGCCTCGGACTTGTTCAGAGCTTGGAATTAGAGTCCTCTTTGCTTTCTTAATTACATCTAACCTCAGTATACATTATTCTTTCTGTCTGCACACTGTTAATTTCTTTTGTATGAAGAGTATGCTTACATAGTTTTCATAAGGGCTTTAGTCAACTATTTCTAATTTGGAGGGCAAATGTTCATTCAGATCATATGATCAGTTTTTCCAAGGCAAGGAAATATTTTGTGACGTGCTCATAGCGGCCTTCTTATGAATGCAGTCAGCATTTGCTTGGCCACTGACCATTTTCCTGGCATGCGGTGTTTGGAAATACAAACCACCACGTAATTCTGGTGTGCAAGCTCAATTGAAATGAAGCATGGATTATGCCCCTGGTGACAATCTGAAAACTGAGGACTGGATCCAAAGCCCGTCGAAACAGGTGAAACTGCCTATGTTGCATCCCGTCTGCTTTAGACCAGCCATTTAACCATCTCCTCTTACTTTCCAGTGCGAGAGGGAAGAACCTGTAAGGGAGGTGGGACCTTTAAGGCTACAGATTCTGTGGATGATTTGACTCTCAGCCGCACATGATGAGTTGTGTCGAAAAAGATGAGTAACGTCAGATTTACACCATGGTGAGGTGGAGAAGTATTGTACAATGAAATGACAGATTTGGAGAAGCCTGGAGCAGGATGTAACACAGATTTCTGTCTAGGACCCTGAATCCAAATATTATGGGGATGTGGGGATAAAGATATGAACTTTGTTGCTCTGGCTTTATGTACCCTTTTGACTGAATGGCCATGAAGGTTTGGATGACAGCCAAGATACGTGTCAGTGATTTCTGCTTCTGGGTCCCAGTTCAAAAATTAGGTAACAAGTCATATTAAGTAATTCAGTCAAATCTGGCATTCACATAATCCCTTCTGTGTCTGTGCACAGTTCTGAAAGTAGCACTTGCCAGAGGGGGGAGGGGGGAGAACAGAATAACAGAATAGAATTGGAAGAGACTTTGAGGGTCATCTAGTCCAATCCCCTGCGATGCAGGAACAAACAAACAAACAAACAAACAAACAAACAAACAGTGAAAGTGGAAACAGTAAAACGAAAGTTAGAGATGCAGCAGTTTGAGGGGGAAATCCTTGTTATGTTCTTACATTTGCCATCAGCTTGCTTTTCAATAGAATCCCAAGAAAGTTCTTTGGCTATCAGACTTTGGAGAGAAATTGCTTCATATAGATAGAACCATAAACAATGATGCAGTATATTGGACCACGTGTGCATTTTATATTTATATTACAAAAGTAGCTTTGGTAACCTCTCCTAGTTCGTGGCCAAAGGACAGCGTAAGTGGCAAGTTGTATAGTGTAAGCGAAAGTTCAAGTTGCTCAATATGTCCTTATAATGTCGTCATTACACTGCATAATTTAAAAAGTCCACGTCTTCACACAAGAAATTTAAATGGTGTTGGGATGGAGAAGGCAGCCAAAACAAAGTGTCAACCAAATTTGAATCAAAACTGCAAATAAATAAGATCTTCGGTTAAAAAAATAAAGTAAGCAAAGCCCACCGTTTAGAGAAACAGTCATTTTGGCACACAAACATTTGGAGATCACAAAACTGTGTATGCCAAACAAGAGGGTTGAGGATTGTAGCTCAAACCAAGTGTAGCATACTCATGTGCTGAACATGTGAGAGAGGATGCAGGGGAAAAAGAGAGTCCTATATTATTATTATTTTCCTCTTTTTGCAAAGTACAAATGTAAAAATTCATAACACAATGTAGCGCTCATAAAAGAGTAGACTAACAATCTAGTTTTCAATGCCATGTTTCTGACTTTGGTTAATAGTTTTCATAGTGAAGAAGCACTTGATACCTGAAAGGCTACAATCACTCCTCCAGGTGGCAGGCTTGTACTCTCTCTCCTTTAAAAACAGTTAAAGGTTTGCTGTTGTAGTTGGGTTCTTTTTCCATAAAACATGTTCACATTTTCATAATATACAGGAAAAAGTAAGCAGTTATTTGGTTTACTTTAAAGTCCATTTAAAAAAAACACTGGCTTATTTTGGAACTAGTTCTACCACATACACACACACTAAGTGCTGTGTAATTTTTTTTGTATTTTTTTTCTGTTTGTTTTTATCTAGGAAAACCCACAGACATTTATAAATTGTTCTGTCCATCTTGTAGCTTTCTGAGTCTTTTACTTACAAGGATGGTGAAAGAGCATCTTTACAGAGTTCAAATGTTTAAAGTTTTGTTTGTTCGTGTGTGTTCTTCCTTTAAATCTATCAGTTTAAGAGTTTTCTTCCAGAGAGTCTGTTAAGGGCTCCATTGGGGCCGCCGTCGCAGGCTCGTGCTGTTTTAGGCGTTTAATTGTGTTCTTCAGTGCTTGCCTCTTGTTGCAGAACCAGACTCTAACTACTTCCCGGTCATAGTTCAGTTTCTCTGCAATTTCCGTCATTTCCTGCCCAGAGGGATGCGTGTTCTTCTCAAAATGGGCATTCAAGATCTCAAGAGCCTGCGGCGTGAATGAGGTCCGCCTCTTGCGCTTTTTGGATGGTTCACTTCCAATAAATTCAGTGAGATTCTGCATGCCTGCCCGATGGCGGGCCTCAGCCTCAGCCATCCATCGTTCAAGAACCGGCTTTATCTTCTGGGCACTTTTAGGGGTGATGTCCAGCTTTTCAAACCTGGCAGGATACAAAAGGCCAGGGTTCAGTTTGGCTGTCAGACTGCTAGCTATAGTGTTCTCTTGGGCTTCCTGTGGTAGGAAAAAGTGGCTTCTCAGGATGGTGTGTCTGAGGGGAAAATTGAGAAAGAAGAGTCTTACACTGATGCTCTGCCAGCTGGGACTTCCTGCCTACCTGCCTAATCGACTGGCAGAGGATATTTACAATGGATTATGAAAACTATCAGTTCTACAAATATATAGATATCTATTTAAACAAACAAAAACAATCACAGTGACAAAATGCTGTCAGAATGCTATTTCATATACCCAGTGTTTCAGAGATCCATGTACATTCTGTGGCTCACGTGGATCTTTGGTACACATTGGAAGATACTGATCACATGCATTAAGTCTTAATGGTTAAAGAAGGTGCATACAGATCGAGGGCCTTCATTTAAGTGGATAGAACTCTGTGCATGCTCTGAGTTCTCACTTCTGTTACTACTGTCGAAGGCACATATTTCAGATTTCAAAGCTTTCTCCCCCCCGCCTTCAAAATCCTATACACAATATTCAAGCTTAACACAAAAGCTAAAAACAGGAAATGACATCAGTGGCATTTTGATTCATTTTTACTTCTACTGGGATCTTGTTCCCTTCCTGTAGCATATTGCTCAAATGCTGCTGTTTTAATTTCACAAAGTGCCTGTTAGCCTCTGAATTTCAGGTTTCCTTTTCCTTTTCATTTTTAAGCAATTTTCACTGTATGCAAGTTAACACCGTGTCCCTTCTCTGGGTAGGAAAAGAATTCCCAAAGCTGTTGCTGTCTTCAGTTCAAACAGCTGGACACATTGTAATTACCTTCAATACCTCCACAAGTAGTTGCACTAAAAGAAACTCATGCCTTCCAGATGAAACCCAGCATAATAGTGGACTAATATACTGTGGTATCAAGCTGGGTTTATTGTGGGATGTCTGCACACTGTGCCGAATGATATCATTTCCTGTAAATGAAGTCCTCTATGTATCATTTTGCCATCAAAAGTCCTTTGCTAGACCAGATTTTACAAATCTTCCACGCCATCGGGAGAAAGAAAACTATACCGAGGACTTTAGTCTTTGTAAAGCATGTCCAGTTCAAGTCTTGCATCACCGGCTGACTTAACAAATGACTCTTTTTGTAGTTTTATAAATTACATTTGTTCATTTTTTGGTGTCCAATTAATATTCCCAATATAGGTCTCAGAATGTAATACTTTTGCATAAGTGCCATTGCCCTTGAAAGAATGTGCTCCATTTACAATGGACTTGGTGTGGTTGACTTCTGGCCCTCCAAATACTGCTGGACTACAAGTCCCATCACCCCTGACTATTGGCCATTCTGGCTGGGGCTGATGGGAGTTGGAACCTTTTAACATCTGGAGGAGACCAGGGCTGTAGCTAGAGGGTGGTGAGGTGGGCCCCCACCAGGGGCGCAGACGATTAGAGGGTGCAAAAAGGCTAAAAATATGTCCATAAATATAAATATTGATCATTGCCTCATAAGAAATGGTTTTAAATAGAGGGTGAAGTGAATGGGTGGGTGGGGGTTGGAGGAGAAGCAGAAGGAAGAGCTAATTTGTCCGTGCCTAGGGGGCGCAAACTGGACGGCTCTGGAGGAGACACAGGTTCCCCATCCCTGATGTACATGCTTGCGATGGGCATATACATGTTCATGTTGAACAGTACATGGAAACCATTTCCCTTAAATGTTAATTACAAGAGCTGGATGAACAAGCCCTTTGAAATCCCATTGCAGTCGAAGGGATCTTAACACATTTTTTTAAAAAATTTTTTACTAAAGGAAGTGGTTCCTAGATTGGCTAACATGTTGGTTTGACTGGATTGAAATTCCTGCAGTCAGCAGGCTAGCATTGGGCAAGCCACCACCTCCTAAACCAAACTTACAAGGCTGCTGCTGAGACAAAATGAGATGACTCTTTGCACGCACCCAGAGGTCCTGGGAGCAACTGTGGGGTAACTAAATTGTGAATCACAGCTCAAGACCCAAGGAACTCTGGGTTTGTTCGAGAAACCTATGTCTACAGATTTCTCTCCCATTTTCTTGAGGTAGGTCTGAGAATTGTCCTGCCTATTCAGCTATTTAGCACTGTCACATTAGCATTTAACAGAAAACTCTAGTGATTCGCATTGTCCCCCTTGTATACATAGCAAATTTGAACTTGGACAAAGTTGAGTAATTCACCAGCCATTGTTGATGGGAAAAAGTTTGTGGATAACGTTGTGCTCAGTACAAAAGGAGTGGAATATAATATATATATCAGTTAAACTGAATCGCAATGCCAAAGCCACCAGTGGCCTTAACTATTTCAACTACCTGGACAAATTATTGGAATATCGTTCCCATTTCCCAGTTAGATTACGATGCTCACGAGACTGAGAATTCCATTATCATCCATCCTACATAGGCCATGAATTGATGATCTTCTACCTCCATGTTCACCAAGATTGTCAAACAATTGCTGCCATGCTCCCATGCTCATAATATCTATCTGTGCCTAACCCCTGACCTAAAGCCTACTGGACTCTTTGCACAACCCATCATAATGCTGTCCTTTGCTTGACCCATTTTCCATCAAGTTTGTCATCTTTCTTCCTGTTGCCTAAGTGGCAGTATCTCGTGTACTGTAGGTGGCAGTGGGGAGAAAAATTCTCTATCTGTTCCTGCTGCAAAATTGCTGGCCTCTGTGAAGGGCTGGCCTAGACAGCTGTTGGTGATTGCTTAATTATGGGATTGATCCTGGCATAATTTTGTCCATTTACCTTTTTTTGCATATATAGTGCAAAATTTATCAGGCAGTAGCTACCATGTTACTAAGCTGTTGCCAATTTTGTGGCATGGTAAAGTACTGCAATGTTTTATTTAGTCATGTAAGCTATCTGTAGGTTTAAAAAAAGATACATTTTGGTCATTTCCTCTACATATCTGCAACAATATGTGACTGCAGGTCTCTTAAACATGGAATTAAATCCAGTCATATTTTTTGTTCAAGGAATTTCATATATTATAATTCCAAGCATTCAGATCTGTGTTGAAATCCAGCATCACTGAAATCTTCCAAGGGATTTGCCATGGACTTCAAAGGGATATGTGAAGCATCCCATGTAGTTAGCAGCTGTGCATTAGACGAAACAAAAAACTGGGATGATTAAACGAAGCACATGCAAATCCAGCTGGGTGGATTTATAGTACCATGTCACAGTGCAATGCAAAAATATAAAATAGCAGTTGCCTTAAAAGCAACAACAACCCTCTTTTTGTTTAGGTTTCTTCTACCAATTGACCACTGAGATGAAATAAAGTTAAAGTTAAATAACAGGGAGTGGGGAGGAGGGCCATTTTCATAACAATTGTGTGACTTGTTTGTGCTGGTGCTTCAGTATGTGATGTTTGGAATAACGATATACAAGTCTTGAAACAAATTTCCCAGCAGTGGTATCCTTGTATAGACTGAATAAAGGTTATTTTCTACAGGGAGGTATCTTATAAGAAAAAACAGTAGGGGACACCATAGAAGTGAGAGGATCCTATGGAGCTTTTTGTATTTAACAACAATCAATGGGTTTTATGGAAAATCATTGAGCAAAATGTGAGCTGCAAGCTTACTACCCCATACTGATGTTATTTATAACCTTAGTCTTAAACTGCAGGAAAAGTACATTTCCATTCTATGGGGAATACATTAAAAGTATAAAGAGCAGATAAAAAGACAGAGCATTTCATGGATCACCAAGAACAAAATCCACTTAAATGAGCTTAGAGTTGGTTTCTTGGCTTTCACTGATGGAGGAGGACTACGAGGCATTGCCCAAGAGAAAAAAGCTGTTACCTAAGTGTGTTTGTTACCTCATGCATAAACATGGGATTAGTGTAACACACACACATGAAGACATAGGGACTTTGCTCTGAAGACCTTTAACTCTGTCAAGACTGCTTTTGGTTTCATTATTTTGTCACTCTCCGGGCATTATTCTTTCCCCGACTTGAATCCATGCTTTTTTTGAAACACTGGAGAGTGATATATGATTAATCCCAGAAAGTCTGAAAAAAGCCATTATGGCTTTATATAGATTCCCTGCACTCTCCTCTGTATCATTTGGGAAAATCATCATTAACATCTTAGATGTGAAGTGCGAGCTATGGTACTACAGGCTTAAACCTGGCAGGGAAGCATCCATGAAATATTTGTTCAGTAACCCCATCTGTAGAAAATGGCACAGTATGAAGAGGGTCAGCTGGTGCTTATGCAGTAGCGGCAGCAGCAGCAGGGTCTCCCGTTCCACTACTGAATTATGTCTCAAGGCCAGGAACATATTTATTGTTTCCTACTTGTTACAAAAGTAAAGGGTGGGGGGAAGGAGATGAAAGTTATTTTAAGGACGTGTGCTGAAATATATCTACTCCATCACAAGAGCATCCACTCCTCTCTCTACGTCTTCCGTACAAAGGAGCTCTTTTCCATGGACATGTGATTAAAGCAATAAAGGCGGCAGAAGAAGCAATAATAAGCCGTGAGAGAGGGGCCTGGAGAAATGAGCATTTGCTGTGTATCTTGTTACCTGCAGATGGCAGACTGGCTGTAGGCTGGACCTTCTGTGGCACTTAGAGCTTGACCAACTTGCGTCTGGGTGAGACCAAGTGACAGGCGTCGGATTTTAAAAGCTTTGGCAAATTCTCGGATTTCCTCAAGGTTCACCCCATCCACCTCGCTGGAGGCTGTCTGGGGATCTGTCGAAATACAAGAAAAGGGTTTGAATTCTTCATTGCATATAAAATGGAATTAGCGTAACCTCCATTATTGGCACGGCTTTGGGAAGCAAACAAAAAGATAGAGCAAAGGCACTGGATGCCTCCCTGTTGCCAACTTAGGGTGAAAGGAGTTGTGGTGGAAAGCATTAAAAACAATGCCTGCTGACCAGATATTTCATAGTGCTTGTATGGGAGATTGTTGGTGACCTTGCCCAGTCAGCCCCTGAATCATTCTCAAAGAGTTCATCCAGTAAAACTAGTTCCTAGTAGGTTTGGGGAACAACTAAAGAGAGAACCGATTTTGGGAAATGTGTTAACTTAGTAAAAAGGCAATGGATATTTTGTTCTATTTTGTCTTAAAAAACTGCATCACAAAAACTATCTTCAAGGTGTTTGGGTCATTTAACTAGACAGTGCTCGTACACTGGACCCTTTGCAAGATTTTTCTTCTGCATCACCCCAAACAGTGGCCCGTTAGGGTGATGCAAGCACAACCTTAAAATAGTAACACTGACACCTGCTTTATTTTTTCATTGGACCCTCAGAAGATAATGCTCATAATGCTGCGAGAATAAATTGGTCTTCTGCCTCCGTCGCAATGTACTGACACAGCTTTTGTCCCTGAAAGGGCACATAATAAAAGGTATCTAGCAGAGGAAGGCTCCTTTGGTGCTGGAAATGCGGTCAATTTAGGACTTATCAAGGGAAATGACACAACAGTTGGAGGTGGTACCCCCCCAACCCCCCCCCCCCCAGCAACTGATCCCTTGCTAAATGAAAGCATTCCCGAAGCCGGTGGAGACAGCATGGGACTGGGATAGTGGAATATTTCAAAGCGTTGTTCACTCCTGCGTATAGTGAAGCCATTCCCTTGGCACAATGTCTCTATCATTCCGGAGATGTTCCAATGTGAAATATTTTTACCACAAGAATCAATTCATTTCTCTAAATGCAAGTCATCAGTGGTCCAGACTTGGCTACAATTCAGTGTGCAGACCAACATCTTATGCTCACAACTATTCTCAGTCTTACTGCAGAACTGCTGCAGGAAAATTGCTATTTATCAGGCTGATGGTCAAAATTCTACTGACTAGAATTCCTTACAAATTCTCCTAGCCCATCATAGAGTTTTTGTATCAAATGCTTAGTCTAGATTGACTAGGATGGAGTGAACATTCTGAAAACGGGCAGAGAGGGAACTCCTTTTTCCATATGAGGCCGCCCAGCTTAATTCTGTATTGTTTTTAATTAATGCTGTATTGTTTTTAACACTCGATTGGAAGCCGCCCAGAGTGGCTGGGGAAACTCAGCCAGAGGGGCAGGGTATAAATAAATTATTATTATTATTATTATTATTATTATTATTATTATTATTATTATTTTAAGGGCATCTGGTTAAATTGTATTTCAAGAATCATCTATTTGTATTGCTAATTGTTATGTGATGGGGTGCCAGAGTTTTGTGGGTGCAAGGCACCCATGATTCCTGGGTTTAGCAAAAGTTGGAATTAATCAAGGTTTGATTAAACTGTGCCAAATGCTGTTGGATGCAGCTTATGCTAACGAGCCAGACCAGCCTGTCAGGGCTAGCTGAGTGTAAGCCATTAAGAAACAGAGACCTGTGAAGGCTCATCAAGGAAACCATCAAGAGAGAGCAAGGACTGCCAGGCAAGGAAGACAGGGGACCCTCCTCCAGCTGTGTGTTGGTGGGCAGAGACCAAAGGGGTTTAGGAGTTCAGGAAGGGTCAACAGGAAAAAAAAGGGGCCAGTTTTGCAAGTGATTTGGGAAGCAGAAGAAGGGACAGAGCACCGTGTGGGCTGGCTAGGGCAAGCTGTGAATGTTGTGTTGTGCTTATGGAGGAGACCAGAGCCTCTTGGGGTATGGATGCTCTAAACTCTCTCCATCTAGGTTCAAGTGTATATATATGCAAATAAAACCATATATCATAAAGACACCATAGCTTTCATTGTGCCTTATTTCCAAAATGAAACACAGGCCCTGGGTAGGCACCTGGATCCCCTGAAATCTTGCAGATTGGGGTGGCACGTATAATAAACTCTACAGAACATGGATGGGGGCTTTTTTCATGGTGACCCTGGGGTTTTTGTGCTTTCCCTATAGATCTCCCGTTTACGGGCCGGGCCTGATTTAGCTACAGCAGCAGAACTGCATCTGCATCTCAATTGCGTCCAGAGCAACTAATTAAAACTCAGAAGTGGGGTACAGGACATGTTATAGTAAGCCTGCCACAGAGAATGGCCTCCCTGTGCAGCTGATTCCTACCCTGGCCACCATGTTGTGAGGTTTCGTTCCCTTTCCATCTGCTAGCAGGAATATGGGTAAAAGCATGAAGACTCACAAGTGTCACATGGTAACTGTTTCTAACTGTTACAGGCAGGGATGAGTTTCTACAGGGAGACCATTTTTGCTTATTTCTTCGCAATCACAACACGAGCTCTCTTTCCCCATACATCTGCCTTGGCCTCCTTTCTCTGCATGGTTTTCTGCTGCGCTGTTTACTGTGCCAAATGGCGCACATCAGCCAGGTATCACGGTTTGTCTTGACTATTCCTGCAGGTACTCCTGGATTATCTAGATCTACTTTAATCTGAATTCAGACCTGTTTTCAGAACTGAACCAGTCTTAGTCAACCTGAAAGATTATCATCAGGGAGAAACAGGAGTACCATCCTGTTACTTCTGCTCAATCTCTCAGCAGCTTTTGATATCATTGATCATGGTATCCTCCTGGACTGACTCAGGGGGACTGGGCATTGGAGTCAGTCTGTGGGGCCACATTCAGAATTAATGCACATTGCATAAAAAATTCTAACTTAGGCCTAAAACTCTTATTACCGGCATTTGCACCATTCAGCAGTCAATGACTTGCTTATTTTTCCAGTTGGCCATACTTACAGGTACTTCACAAAAGCAAGGAAGAAAAGTTGGGATGGAGAAAGTGAAATAAGGATACCAAGAAGGCGATACTTACTGCTGACTAACTGGCCAACACTCAAAGCTGAAGATGAGGAGGAGGAAGAGGAGGAAGAGGAAGCCTGCCGCACGGGGCTCTGAGACATAGATGCTTGACTGTGAGCTAAATGTAGGAGATTGGACTGGGATGCTGCTTGCCCCACCTGCGTCTGGGATGGCTGGTGGAGCTAAATGCAAAATTAAAGAAACAAACAGTCAGCAGAGAGACAAGAATTGATAAGGTGCTGTCACTGTACTACGTTCTCTGCCTGGCACAATGCTCTTAATATTAAAGATTCTTTATTTATTTATATCCCACCCCTTCGACTCTTGTGCCAGTAGTTGGGTATTGTGGTGGGCTGGATGAAGACTAATAAGAAACAGGCTGTGTCATATATCCAATCTGCAACCAAACTCCCTATCTGTCCTAGTGCAGTCACTGCTGGAAGTGAACCTGTTTGTAGCAGAAACGCTGGGGTCTGAATTTTAAGAACTATATCCCAAGTTAAGATTTTTAACTTTGAATACAACATTTTAAAATTAACTTTGAAATCTAAACATAAACTGTAATGCAAGATTTATTTATTTATTTTGTTTGTTATCTCAGAATAGTCTTCTTGATGTATATGTGACTGTGCAGTCTTGACCTCTCCTCGAAAGTAAGGGCATGATCAGCCAAAGTTAAATCCTTCTAGGTGAGCTCTGTTGATCTGAATGGGAGAGTTAAGCATTGTACTTAAATATCTCCTACTGCATCAAAAGAGCTACTTGAAAGTGGGTAACCTCAAATGAATTGTGTCCTAAATAGTACATATACACAGAAGAAGAAATTTGTGCAAACTGTTAGCCTTTCTAATATCAATGGAACAATAAATGAATTCAGACACAAACTTCCGTCTTGCATTCCCTCCTCTCCCGGAAATATGACTGTATTACAAATAAAGGATGATGGATTATAACATGAGATAGAACATAAAATGCACAGGCAATCTAATATGTGTTTTATTAATTTAATATAACCCAAAGTGGCTAACTGGTTACTGTTGAAAAAATAACAACTTGAAAATGTATTTTTGAACTATTCAGATATATATCCATTCAAGCACGGCAAATCAGATTACTTGGTGGGTGTTTTTAAATAATAAATGTAATTTGGCTGTGTAAATTACGCTGCAAGCTTTTTACTATGATGATGTCTTTGTGGGTCAAAAAGCAAAATCATTTTAGCATTTCAAGATTCATGTAACTGAGTGTCCTCTAAAAAATGGTTATGTTTATGGATATTTCATTTGCTCTGTATGCTTCAGACACAGAACTGTGTTAACTAGTGAAACGGGGATGCTGTAGTGTGTCAGTGTGAGTGGGTGAGTGTGCTTATGTGAAGAGAATTTGTAGCTCTGGCTGTGTTTTCCAAACTCTATTGAAACCCTTCACAACTCAGATCAAGGTAGCGGCTTCATTATCACGTTCCACGGTGAATCAGCATCCTCAGAGGTGGAGAAACAGCCTTTCAGGAATGAGGAACCATTTGACTACACTGCTGTTTCCCCAATACCATGTTGATTTCAGGTTAGGAAGGAATGGGAAAAGAGCAGGAAAACTTCAAAATAAAGAAAAACAAACATGTGGGATGTGGTTCTGTTAGCTGAGAGTAGGTGGATGATAAAGTAATCTTGTATGATGCCTAATGGCACACACCAGGTAGGAAAGGAAGGCCCAAGGTAGGCATCAGGGATTGCACCTCTGGGCTGGCACTACCCAAATGAGAGTATAATCTGAACCATGAAGATTTTCAAGCTGTTTTGCACCTGAATACCCAAGTGCTGGTCACAAACACCAGAGAATTGGGATGCTGGACTGGGTGGAACTTTGCCCAATCCAGCAAAAGCTTATGCTTTAGAGCAGAGCTTTCCAAACTGTGCATCGCCACACATTAGTGTGTCAGCTGCAGTGTGTAGGTGTGTTGTGCAAAAGCTGGAAAGGGGTTAGTTTAACCTCTGATTTGCTAGTAAAACTGAATTACTTTGTTGTGAAATGGTGCATGTCCAAGAAGTGTGTCACCAGCATGAAAAGTTTGGAAAGCTCTGCTTTAGAGTGTGCCTATTCACCCAAACAGATTGGCTGGGATACAGCTAATCAGGGCCAGAGATACCTGAAACAATAAGGAAAAAGAGGGAATGCATATTCCGCCTTAGAATTTTCTTGCTGGTTGAGTGGCTGAAGGCTTGATCTCTGCAGCCCTGAACCTCTTTCTTAAGATAGAGAATATACCATAACAACTGCCTGAACATTCCAAAAGTGCATCTGATTATATATGGAATATAAAGTCCGTTGCGTAAGACAACAAACTGGCAGTTGTGGAGTTAACAGAGGGCTTGGACACCATTTTGGGCTGAAACTGAAGGCTGCCTTTATTTGCCCCTCCTCCTTGCCTAACACCCCTACCCAAAGAGTGACAGTGGGGAGGAAAATGCAAATCAATATATTTTAACTATTTCTCAGTTAATTTAAATGCTACATTCATAACTTACCTGTTGGCCTGGTTTGAGTGGCGAAAGTGTGATTCCCTGGGTGTTGATCACTGGCAAGATCTGGTTCCCAATGACTGTGGCAATGATTTGCCCCTGGGCATTGGTCAGTAATTGTGGCGTGATTGGCTGCACTTGAAGGCCCTGAGCTCCTCCGGCTGACTGGTTAGATGAGACTGGATTAGGCATCAGTGGGATTGTTCCAATGATCTACAAGAAAGAAAACGTGAAATTCTATAGGTTACAAACATTTAATAGGAAAGGTTTACAATCATAGTATGTATATAAGCAACGAACTCTGGTCCAAAATACACACATTTTGACTGGTTTAGAAACTGGGTGGTGTACAATCAGTATTTGAAGTTGTGGCCATGTTTGCCAAATGGTATCAGATAGAAATCTTCAGCCATTTTCAAGTTGGGTTCTGTGGAGCCTTGGGCTATATATACAAGTTTGCCCACCATTACTGATATTCCCCTGCACTGCTGAATTGCGAGTCAATTTAGGACTTATCAAGGGATAAGTGCTGGATGTGTTTTAAGCAAACAATTAGAACATGTTTGGCAGTGGTTCCAGTGAATAAAGATAAAATGTAAAGGACCCCTGGATGGTTAAGTCCAGTCAAAGGCAACTATGCCCTGATAAAACATTTGAAAAACCAGTGGTATAGGGAATCTTTGGCCAATTTTTAGCAAGTGGACTGTAAGGTGATTTGGTTAAAGTCCTTGTGTGAAGGGCAGCAGGCTAATATGTGACCTACTGTATACTCGTATCAAATTATATTGATATTTGTAATATATAGGATTTTTAAGATTAGACAATTATAAGAAGCCATTTAGGTCACCACCTGACTAAATTCAAGACAAATCGTATTTAAGCACACAAAATTGCTCCCAAACCTACTTTTAATATTAACCATGGCAGTTAGTCCACAAGGTAAGCATCTGACAAAATTTATGGCTCCGACGTGAACCATGTCATGCCAAAATACTTTTATGGAAGCTCCTACACAACAACATTTTTTAAAAAATATGTTATGAGTGAGTGGCAAGTAGCAATCCAACATGCTGACATATTCTTGTCTCGCATATGCTGAGCTTTATCCGGAGGTTGTGGGTGGGAATGGGGTCTTGGGAAGAAATAAACAAGACCTCAGGGATGTTTTGTATACTCTGCCTTTAAACATCTCTGTTGATGCAGAGTTCAAATTATCATTTGTCTATAACAAGGAAAGATTGTGGTCAGCCTAGTGTGGGCATTCTATCTTTACTTCAACAAATGTTACCAAATGAAAAGAATTATCTTTCTTTTTAACGCTGTCAGCAGAAGCCTTGTGAAATAAATAAATAAATGAAAACATTTGATTCACATGTCGCAAAGGACATGGCCTTGAAGTGTCACTTCTGGGCCTGTAACTTCAGCCAGCAAGGCTCCAGTCCCCCCACAAGGCAAAAAATTGCTGTGCTAGTTTTATCAGTAATAGAAATGTTTGCATCCACGTTTAAAATGCATTTCTGGGATTGCAGTCAGGCATTTTGAGAATGACATTGCTGAAGTGAACAGTTTGTAAGGTCAGAGGCAGGAGGACAGGCCTGTTGTATTAAAGTGTTGTGGTTTTGCAATGAATGAATTATGCTATTTGAACGTGTGCAGGGACGCTGGAAGGTTGTACCCCCCAAACATACATGCAGCGGGAATATTTTAGAAATGACAGACTCTTACAATTTCCTTTCCTTCCTCAAAATGCCCCATCAAATAAATGGAATACAGTGGTACCTCTGGATGCGAATGGGATCCATTCCGGAGCCCTGTTCGCATCCTGAAGCGAGCGCAACCCACGTCTGCATGTCTGCGGGCCTCGATTCGCCGCTTCTGTGCATGCACGTGACGTCATTTTGAGTGTCTGCATTCCGTTACTTCCGGGTCGCCATGGAGCGTAACCTGAAAACGCTCAACCTGAAGCATATTTAACCCGAGGTATGACTGTAGATGCTAATGCTTCATTTATAGTATGTAGCACTCTAAGGGGCTAGTCACACATTCAAGCATGTACGGAAGTTCCCCAGCAACCCTATACAGCAGGCATAGGCAAACTCGGCCTTCCAGATGTTTTGAGACTACAGTTCCCATCACCCCTGACCACTGTCCTGTTAGCTAGGGATGATGGGAGTTGTAGTCCCAAAACATCTGGAGGACAGAGTTTGCCTATGCCTACTATACAGATTAAAATAAATCAGGGAGCTCAGCCTAGAGCAGCTTTGTCCTTGACTTGCTAGCTTTGTGGGTAGAGGAAGTTTGTCATTGCCTACATGGTTCATGAAGTTGTGCACTATAGGTAAGATGCACAAGCGGACATCGGGTCACTCAGTGGGGCTTCTCTTTCCTCTCAGCCCCACAAATCAACTCCTGAAGGTTAGGATATTCTCTGGAGCGGATTTGGGGTGAGGCATGAGGAGGAAGAAAAGAAACTGAAATTCTTGTTTCATAAGCAGATTTATGTTGTGCAAGTATGCAGTTCAGCTTTAAACCTTGTACCCCAGTAGCAGCATGATTACAACCCTTCTAATGGACAGTGCAGAAATGAAACTCCTGCATATGTATGGCTTTCGTCTTTCAAATCTCTGGAAGGACCTGTGCTATGCTTACATCCCATGGTTTTCATGGAGGAGCTTCCTTCACTGATATGAATGGGGAGCAATGGTCTTGCATTCAGACCCCAACATCTGCAGGGAGATTGCTGAATCATGCTTTCTGTCTTTATAATTTCATTAACTTCTGCTAGTTTGCCTGAAAGTTTTGGATGTATGAAGGAATGAAATGTTTTATTAATAGTAAAGTTGCCTTTGGGCTCTTATTTGTTCTTTCAATTATTCAGGCATAGCTCAGAGTAGAGGCTCAATTTTATATCTTGTTATTCCCTAAACTCATTTCGTCATGAATTCTTGAGTCTAGGTCCTTACCTTTACGCTTAAGTTATTCAAAAAACACAATATGGAAGTGTAAAGATTACAAGTTGTGAAACATGAAGGCAATATGGGAATAAGACAAAGAGAACTAAAAAGTATCACGAAGAGGAGACGACACAAAGGCTGCCTAACCAACAAGAACCTTAACATCAAGAGGCTTAATAGGGTTGCCACATTTTGAAGAGCAAAAAAGAAGACACATTTGCCGACTTCTGCTTTTAACTATGGATTGCTATGACGACTCTACTCATGAAAAAGAGGACATGTCCTGGAAAAAGAGGACATATGGCAACCCTTTTTAGGACTATGTGTAAAGCAGCTCACTATGTTTCCCCATATATGCAGACCTAATAGTAACTCTATATAATGTGTTGTTATCAAAGCTTGATTGAACCTAGCTTATCTCCTTGTGATAGAAAAAGTGATATAAATTGTTCAGTATATACTCTGATTTTGTGAATGCACGTAGTCACTTAGATCAATGTTAGCTAAGTGGTGTTAAAGACCATACTGGAAAAAAGGACACAAATAGATATCCATGTTTTTACTGAGAGGGTTCAACCAACTTCAGATTCCTTAAAGTTTGCTAGTCTAAGATCCTCAAATCAGCAACAAAAGTTTAAAGAACTGAAAGTAGCAAAGAGTCATGCCTGCGTGGGTACAGATAGCTTAAAAAAAAGTGTTATCAAATATGCATTTGTTTATCACAGTCAAGTATTATGATTAAAAGCTGATTCATATATATTTTATGAAGATATTGTCTATTGTGATGGCAAAATTAAATGTATTTTGAAACTTGTAGGTGACATTTATCTGTCTGGTCTATCAGAAAAAGTTGTCATATTCCATCTAACATATATTACTTTTCCAATTTCCTGCCAGTAATGTTTCTTTAATGTTCTTTAGGGCGAGACTACAGGATTTCTCATCTCTCACAACAAAGACCATAACTCATTACAATGATGCTAATGAGCTTTGGCAATGAAAAACTGTATCACCCTTTTCATAGGTGAACAATCTTTTATCCATGACCATCATGGCATTTTCTTATATATACACAGAGGGTGCAATGGGAGCTTGATGCATTCTTTAAAAATAACTCATGCTCTTCCATTCTTTTTCTGCTGCTCCCTTCAGATGATCATCAGGAGGAGGAAAAAAACCAGGCACCATTTCTGTGAAGATTCAGTCTCAGTTTGGATGCGTGTGAGATAACAGGGATAGCAAATCTATTGAAAATGGTAATCTTTTTATCTCCCTTTATGTCACCTTGACTGCATATTTACCCAAATTATAAAAAAGCCGAGGAACAAAGTGCAGTTTTGCATGGCAGGCAGCATAATGAGTGTGGTCCAGTGGAAGTGAAGCACTATTCCCATTTATATCAGTGGGAGAGAGTTAAATAAGTGCTTAACACCCTTATGGTCTTGAGAGCCAAATAAATTTCACATATATTTGCAAAGACTAAAAAGAGAGGTTCCGGGGGGAAATTGTGGCTGAGACTACGAAAGGCATAAAGCTTATTAATGAAAAACTAATTGGGGCTCCCAGGTAATTCCATGTGAACCCATTACATTGCTCTTAAGGATTCTGTATGAAGGTGTATAGTTTCACGGAAAGGCCAACTATTTTTCTCAGACTTCAACACTGTAATGTGTCAACTGACACTTAACACCATAAAATAAAAATGAAATAACCTTAAGGATAACATTTTCTTCTGGTGTTTAATGAGATCCACTCTATTAACTTCAAAGAACCTGACAATGTTTGCTTCCCCTTTAGTTGATCAATTTTTAATTCCTTGGTATTTGGGGTGCCATGACCCTGCTAAGTCTCCATTTGTCTATATAGAAAAATAACTTTTGAAGTTTTTGTGTGTGTTAGAAATCCTTTCCTGCCCTCTTCTCTGAAGAGAAATATATCCCAGGAGGAAAACTGGAAGTCTGCCAAGCACAACACTAGCCTGGCTGCAGAAAACACCCTGCGCCCAGCGCAACGTTGGACAGGCTTGATTATGTCCTCAGTGCTCATATAGACATCATGGGAATGATTCCTGAACCTGAAAACTGTGCCCTGTGAATTGGCGAGCGGGGCAAAAGAGGAAACATTGAAGTGACAGCGAGGAAGAAAAGTTTAATATGGTGCTATAATGGGAACTAACCAATCAATAAGACTAATTCCCTCTGCCAAGAGGCTGTGCTCTCCCAGTACAAACCCTCAGTGCCACAATATGTGAATTCACTTTTACTGTTTCCCTATCACTTTGAGTCTATCTGTCTGTCCATCCACCCATCCTCCTGAATAAGTCATGTCATGGCTTAATAAATATATCCTTGGGAGAGAGGCCAGGCCTCTACAGACTACGACTAACAAGTTAAAATTAAACTCCTTTTCCAGTTGGGCTGCAATGACCTATTTATACATTTTTCCTTGCCTTTTTCATCTATCTATATTTTTTATCTTTACATTTTCCCTGGTAACTGGCCTCTCTCATCTCTCTCTAAACTGTCTCCCTGATGTCCTGATCACTCTCTGATCTATTTCTCTTTTCTTATCTCCTGGGTGGATGCTAATATGACACATCCAACCTCTAAAACAAACCATTTATTTTGAGAGCTGGCAATGTCAGAGTATTTGATGCATCAAACATTAAAATGAATGTTTATTTGGATATTGTGCCTGGATATGAAATTACTTTTCTGAGAGATCTGTTTTTAAAATGGAGAGGCATTCTGTCCTCTTTCCCAAATCTGCTGCACAAAACAGATGAAAGGAACTGGGAGCATATGAGCTTTTTGTGGAATGGTGAAAAAAGAGAGGAGCTACAGGGTGAGCATGTATTTTGATAATATTTGCTCCAATCTACAAGGGGCTGCATGTATGAAAAGCAAGCTTTGACATGTGTTTGCCTGTTGGGAATCACATAGGCAAATGGCTACCATATGCATGATGTAAAGTATCATTTGGCAGACCCATGTCTTCAGATGAGGCCCTACTCCAATCACATTACTAGAAGAGTGGGAGGGATGGGGTACTGAGGTGCATTTGTTTAAATATATTTAAAAAAAATGAAACAAATTAGCTGCATTTGTTTTATTCATTTTAGTTATAAAATATGAGTTGCTTTTAAAAAAAATGAATTTTAGAATGAAAAATACAATAGTGATTCTTTGTTGGGGGTTGATTAATTTTCCATTAGTTTCTGTCGGGATGCATTTGTCCTATTTTTCAGAAATGTGGCAGATCTGATTCTAAGGAGAATGCCTGGGCTTTTCAGGCAGAAAGGGATGTAAATCCAGAAGTTACAAGTAGAAGAAATGCAACTGGATCTCCCAATGGAATCATTTGAAAGGTTATCTCAGCTGTGCATCTTTTAAAATTTCTTATAAAATGGGAACCAATCCATATGGATTTTGGGAAGTCTGATGCCCTGGGGGAGCTTGATAGCCTCAAAATGTTACAACACTCAGATGAAAAGCACCAAAGTCTGAAATTAAAAGCCAAACTAAAATGATAGGGAATTGTGAAATTCTGAATTGTTGGTGAAAACAAATAAGAAAAGGAAACAAGTAATGAAACAGATTAAAATTTATTAAAAGGAAAATTTAAAGAAGTAACTAAATGGACCCCCTGCCAGCACAACCTAGGATGCAGTGCATGTTGGAGAGAGATGTGCAGAGGAATGGTCGCATCTCCCAAATCTGTCATGGTTACTCCTGCAACCCATCTCCCACAGGCTTTCTCCTCTATCAGAGCACCAGTAATGGAAATGAGGCCTGGGGAGTTGGGTAGGCTGCAGAAGAAAAGATAATTGGTGATGTGAGCACAAAATGCTGATGCTTGAAGGTATGGATCTGCCACCATTATCTGCATTTAGATATGCGATTAAAGCTGATAAGTCAACAGAATATTTTTTTTAAAACACAATCATGTACTGTATATGCCTACTCAGAAGTAAGTCCAAGTGGGTTTAATGGGCCCTACTCCCAAGTAGGGACACGGGTGGCGCTATGGGTTAAACCACAGAGCCTAGGACTTGCAGATCAGAAGGCTGGCGGTTCGAATCCTCGCGACAGGGTGAGCTCCTGTTGCCCGGTCCCTGTTCCTGCCAACCTAGCAGTTTGAAAACACGTCAAAGTGCAAGTAGATAAATAGGTACCGCTCCAGTGGGAAGGTAAACGGCGTTTCTGTGCGCTGCTCTGGTTCTCCAGAAGCGGCTTAGTCATGCTGGCCACATGACCTGGAAGCTGTACGCCGGCTCCCTCGGCCAATAAAGCGAGATGAGCGCCGCAACCCCAGAGTCGGCCACGACTGGACCTAATCGTCAGGGGTCCCTTTACCTTTACTTTACTACCAAGTAAGTGTATATATTGTCGGTGGTGGAGCTTCATGCTCTGGCACCGGGGGCGGAGACCAGGCAGGGGTGTGGCTGGTGCGCGTCCCAGGGGTGTGGCGCGTCTCCCGCAGGGGCATGGCACATGCCCTGGGGCTGTGGTGCGCCACCTGTGGGTGCATGACGCCCTGCGCGGGCAGGGGTGCAGCCACGATGGCACCCCACCAGGATAACGCTGCCGGGGGCAGTGCTCTCCCCCGTCCCCTTTTCCTCTGCCAGTATATACTGTATAAGATTGTAGCCTTTATCAATTTTGACTATGCTATTATAATTTATTTATTTTTTAAAAAGTGGGCAGGAGGCTGCTCAGCCATGGATTTTGCTCTGGTTCTCGGTCAGGTCTTTCAAATGCTAAAGACTTCTGATCCAATGGAGTTTTCCCTTTTACCATTTATGAATGTAGCATTTTCCTTCATGGGATCTCCTTTGCAATCAGTACAACTTTGCACCATGAGTGTCTTTCACCATTGGCTGTTTGGCTATGAGAAGACTGGACACCACAAGCATTCACGCACCTAAGCACTAAGGTAAATTGTATTAATACTCCCAGCTGTGAAACTTAAGAGGTGGCAGGAATGGTGAACGTTATTATGTGAGGCCAGAGCAGAAACAGCCTCAGGCAGAGAGGGTCATCCTAAGGCAGTGAGGGTAAAGTGGGACTGAACAGCCTTAGAGGCGTTTTTGTGAGGTACTCTGCCTCAGGCAAGTATATTGATTTTAAAACTCACTGAAGGGTAGCAACAACTTGGCCATGGTTATGCTCTTTAAGCATATGTAGCATACATTTCTTGGCCACGCACAATGTGATTCAGATGCTGGCAATAATTTAGCTTATTCCTAACCACATGGCAAGAGAGAGGCTATACCACAAAGTTTCACATTGCACTATATTTTTGCTTGTCTTGCCTCAGTGACCAAATTATTATTTTTTGAAGAATTGCTCTGGATATCCCCATTCTGTTCCAGACACATGGAAGAAAACAGGATTTTTTACAGGAATTTAAAATTCGCCTTTTAGGAACCACTAATTATGTTTATGAAACATTTAATTACTGAAAAGCATTTTCCCCTCACAGGACTCAAGGCAGCTTAGAGATAAAAACAAGAACTGCTAAAAACATAGAAAAAAGCAATAATTGAAAAACAATTATGTGAGCACAACATAATTATGGATACCTACTCACCGCAGTTTTATTTTAATGAAAAGTACAAAGTTGGAAAAAAAAGGCCCTGGTGTTTTTGTTCTGAAACAATGGAACTGAAGGCAGAAGCCACTGACTGAACCAACACATGATTCTGCCTTTATAAAAAAACCAAAAAACCCTCTGTACATAAAAAGCTGTCATAAAATTATTATCCCTGATGACAATGGCAACCCTAATCGCACCCATTGTGCTTGATTTGTTCTTCCCCATTGCCCATAACTGGAATGCCGATGGGTGGGATAGCATTACTACCACTTACCTTGAAGGACCTGGTTCTAGTGAAAATGTGCACCTACACCAATCCTTGCCAAAGCTCTAAGCAGACTCACCACCTTTAGACTCTGATAGTAAATTCACAAAGGCTGCAGTCCTATGCACTGAATCCAGTAGGTTTTTTTGAATGAGCACTTTTAGGGCTAGGTAAAGGGACCCTGGCCATTAGATCCAGTCGCAGACGACTCTGGGGTTGTGGCACTCATCTCACTTTACTGGCTGAGGGAGCCGGTGTTTGTCCACAGACAGCTTCTGGGTCATGGGGCCAGCATGACTAAGCCACGTCTGGCGAACCAGAGCAGCGCACAGAAATGCCGTTTACTTTCCTGCCGGAGCAGTACCTATTTATCTACTTGCACTGCGTGCTTTCGAACTGCTAGGTTGGCAGGAGGAGGGACAGAGGAACAGGAGCTCACCCCGACATGGGGATTCGAACCACTGACCTTCCGATTGGCAAGCCCTAGGCTCAGTGGTTTACATCACAGCACCACCCACATCCTATGTAGTTGTGTAAGGTAAAGGGACCCCTGACCATTAGGTCCAGTTGTGACCGACTCTGGGGTTGCGGAGCTCACTTGCTTTATTGGCTGAGGGAGACGGCTGTACAGCTTCCGGGTCATGTGACCAGCATGTTTAAGTCGCTTCTGGTGAACCAGAGCAGCGCATGGAAACGCCGTTTACTTTCCTGCTGGAGCGGTACCTATTTATCTACCTGCACTGCGTGCTATCGAACTGCTAGGTTGGCAGGAGCTGGGACAGAGAAATGGGAGCTCACCCCGTCATGGGGATTCGAACCGCTGCCCTTCTGATCAGCAAGCCCTAGGCTCTGTGGTTTAGACCACAGCGCCACCCACGTCCCACGTAGTTGGGTAGCCATGCCCAATTATAAAATACGCATGTTTCCTATCAGTTAAGCAGGGAACCTACATAGATGTGTCTTTTTAAAATGGGGAAATTACAATTGGGAAAGGATCAGGCCTTTTGCTTTTTCCATGTTTCGAAGCACAAAGCAAGCAAAAGCTGTTTCCAGCTCCGGTGAAAGTGATTTTGAAGCAAATACTATCACATTGGGTAACAGCATTGGGCTGGGGATAGAGTATTATTTATAAGAGTTGAAAATGACTTAAGAGGGGCATCATTTTCCATGTTGTGCAGACATGTTTCTTTTGTCCCACTATTGCCATGGATCAAAGAGGTTGTTAAAACACAAGAACCTGTGAATGCTGCATAGCAAATGAATAAATTACGTATATGAATGTATGCACAATGCAGTGTCCCTCTTTTCACACCAGTTTCATCTCTTGGAGGGGGGATCCCCTTGCCTGAAACTGCATCAACCTGAAAATTTCATTTGGGGTAGTTCCATTGACTGTTGTGGAACTACTCCAGAGTGTATTGTCGTGCCTGCGTCCTCGTTATTCAAAGAAAGTATTTCTGATGCTACAAGAAAATAAAAGCAATTGTGGGGAAACAGGACACAGGCACATTAAAAATGGTAGCCCAGAGTCTCTTCAAAAGAGAGATGCTTTGGTACTTTACAAATCCATCCATAAAGAGAGTCAAATCCTATTTTGTAATGCTTTCCACTCTTTTTTATTGCACATGACATATTATATTGTACCATGCAGTGCATGGTGACAAAAATTCCCCATCTTATTTAATTGTGATCCCTTCACTGGGTTTGAAAGGGGCTGCTTTATTTCCTTTGCTTTAAAATTTACTAGCTTTTTAGCTGATGAAGTATTTTATTTTATTAGTTGGGAGTTAATGCTTTACCAAAAAGCAGCAGCGGGTTGGGGGAGACATATATATATATATTATATATATATAAAAGGAACGAAAAGGCCCTTGGCTGTGTTAGGAAGGCCTGGGTCAGAATAATACCCTTTAATAATGAGGGATAGAGCTATGGCTTTTGCTGATGGCTGTGACCGGCTCTGTGACCTGATTATGTCGCAGAGTGTCAGCAGCTGAGACACTACAAAAGCAAGTGCATCCCATCAAATCTATCTCCATTGTAATCACTCTTGCTGCTGAGAGGCTTGTTAGGAGCAGAGAACCATCAGGCCTTATTAGCACCATTTACCATCAAGATGCTCAAGGAGCCAATGGATGCCCTCTCTGCAGAATAATGAGAAGCAAAGTACTCCCATTATCAAACTGGATCAACGACACCATCCTGCATGCTTAGTCTCCTGAGCTAATTGTGGATTAAAGCTCTCTGAAGGCAGATAATGTTTGCTAATTAGTGGGAGCTTTTCATGAGGCGCTTTTCTCAGGAAGATTTTCCTACTGATGCATAGGTTCATGGCAAATGAATTCTGTGACATAACACCCATGAGTCTTTTGCTGATTGCTTTTTCTTTTTTCTTTCAATTGCAGCAATATTCAAAACAATTAGTTTTTTTAAACTTGCACAATAACATAGTCATGCTAGCTGATAAAATTATTGGTGTTTGTAGTTAATACATGTGTTACTTTAAACCACACGAGGGCACTGTCTAGCAAGCACTTGTTTGTAACCCTCTTTGTCTAAGTTAACTCTACCCCAAAAGCTGAGCCATTCCATTTGTTGTTCTCTTCAGACAATATGTCTGCTATATCTCTGCTATCACCAATCATCCTGTAAATCGTTCCTTCATGAATAAAGCCTTTGAACTCCAGAAACTGTAAGTGATTACTTCAGTCTAATTCTGCTAACCTTCTGCAAGGTCTGCTGACAAAAATGAATATTGTTATTGTCTTAAGAACACTTGGTTAATTGTTAAAATGAGCCAATCTTAGAAACCAGCCTGCAGCCCCTGTGTAAAACACACATACTGTCATTGAATTTAAGTGGATTACTGAAGTGTAAGGATGGGAGAGGATGAATTGCATTTATCAGTGAAAACAGCAAATCTGGTAATATTATTTTAGGAATCCTCAGCGCAGTTGTGCATTTAGGTGTCTTCCTTTAAAACTTATCATTTTGGATAACCACTGGTTACATATATATCATTTGCAAAACGATGAGACCTGGTGCTCTCCAGTTCATGGCTGTGCTGGCTGGGACTGATGGAGTTGTAGTCCAAATCTTATGGAGGGCACCAGGTTGTCGAAGATTGCTGTACACTAGCTGTTTTCTCTGGAATGGTCATCATTTGTTTCATTCATTTTTTATGGAGAATCTAAAAACTGATGCTGCCAAACTGTTGCATTTCAGTGCTGTCTGCCTCATTTTTTCAGACCCTATGTGTACTACTTTAAAAGGGGGGGGGAACTGCTTTAGTTGCAGCATCAACCTTTCCAGTGCAGTCTGGCAAAATTCTACTGCCAGTTAGCAGGGACCCTTAAAAAGCTGCTTCCTTCTTGCCCCTCTCTATCCCAGCAGTGTCCTTTCATTACATACTTCTTGTGCACTTGCTTAGAATTCCTTCATAGCTAGAAAAAAGGCCAGGTTCGCACATCACTTTAAACTATTGTTTGAAATAAATTAACCATAATTTAATATGAATAAGCAGCATGCTGTTACACCCTGCTCAAAAGCACACTTTGCTCCTCCCTGACTTCTTCCTCCATTGTGACAGGGAGGCAAGAGAGGTTGCTTTCAAGTTATGTGTGAACACATAGCTTGCTTCCCCCAAACCAAACCATGAACAGTAAGCTAAGAACTAAGCTTGCCTTACCATTTATGGTTTGTTTGTGGGAAACAAACCTTGAGTGCTCGTTCACAACCTCTGGTTTATGGGGATAGCTCAGCCAATAGAGCATGAGACTCTTAATCTCAGGCTCATGGGTTTGAGCCCCATGTTGGGTAAAAGATTCTTGAATTGCAGGGAATTGCACTAGATTACCCTGGTGGTCCCTTCCAACAGTTCTATGATTCTATGATCTACCCTGGCTAAGGACAGGCAGCAGTGCGGTGAGGAACACTGCTTTAATTGCTGTGTTGCTTTAATGGAATTGTTTCATTGCACATTTTAATCGTAATTTATTTTAAATTATTCTGTATTTAGACAATGTTGTGCAACTGGTTTTTATGTTTTTTTTAGAGTCATCTGGGCATTGAGCAGTACCTAAACGAACAACAACAACAACAGCAGCAGCAAAACACATGTGATTTTAGCAGTGTGCTACTCATTCACTTTAAGCCATGGTTTATTTAAAACCATGATTTAAAGGAGCCTTTTTCAGCCCACAACCCACGTTCTATTATGCACAGCCTTCTGGAGGCTGCCTGCCAGAGTGATCAGGGCCTGAGGCAAGAGTGAACAGAGCAATGTGACTCTCTCCTTTCCACAACATTCCAGCCATGCAAATACACACAAACACATGCACACACACATTCCCTCCATCCATCAGGCAAGAAGCATCATCACAGCTCAAGGATACCATCAAGCCATTCAAACCTGAGGAGGTTGCAGAGTAGGGCCAGTGAGGGATTTGGCCTGGAGAAGGGACACAGCCTGGGAAGAGTTTTGTGGGTTGGAGAGGCCCAGAGGTCTCATCAGCGCCAGCCAGCATGGTCAATGGTCAGTGGAAAATGGTAGTTATACTTCCACTCCAGAGCTTTAAAAATGTGTTAGTATCATGTGAAATTTCTCCTGAAAACCTAACTTTTAGTGAAGGCATTTGCAAGTTGGCAGTGCTGGCTTGCTGCAGGTTTCTCTTTTTAGACTCTCTGTGGTTGCAGTTGAATTAATTATAGTTGTGATTTTAGCACAATGAACAGCAGTTTCATTTTTAATTAGATCTGGATATGCAAGCCCGGTATATGAGAAGTAGGGTAGAAATAACACAAATAAAATCAGAAATGGGCAACTTTTAAAAGCCTATGAACCACCCACCCCAGCAGATCTCTCTTTCAGGGATTTAAAATATAAAGACACATGATGCAGAGTGCCATCCTAAATTTATTAAAAGAAGCCCTTCACATAGATTCTTAACTGTTGCATGGCTTCTGGAGTTTTGCAAAAGTGAAATTCCGCCTACCCCTGAAACTTGTGGGATGGCCAGATTTGGTTTATAAAATAAATATTCAGTGCCACTGTAAGTCTCCTACATGATATTATTCAAACACAGAACTCTGTTCACCCAACAGTTTACCACCACATTCCAATTATTTGCCTTCCTGGGAGAGCCTGAAAGAAGTCTGAGAAAAAAACCCCTTGACTGACAAACTGCCATGGTTTTATATTTCAGAGCCTTAAATTTACATCCTGCTGTCTAGTGCTTCCTGTGAGAGGAGAGTTTGCACTATTTCTGAAGCACAGATATAAACAAGCAACGTTTCTGGATGGAACTGATCTGACTATGAGTTATAGGCATTACAACCAACTTTTCTTCCATTCCAATACTCTGCCCCTAACAGAAATCTTAATAGGCTTTTGAGAGCCTCCATTTAAAGCTGGCTGCATAAAATGATCCTTTGATGAAAAGGGATTGAAACAAGGGTTAAAGTAGACACTGAAAGGTTATTGTAGAGGGCACAATGGTCGTGCAATCCTCCTTTAATATGTGTGGTGTGCACCTGCGATAAGATGATTCATTAGATAAGGCCTCACTTTGACAAGCTCCATCGTTCAACCCTCGGGGTAGTGATGGAACAATTCTGTACCCACCCAGTAAATATAACAAGGTCAGCATTTTTTCCTTGTGGGACTTATATGATGAGGAGAGTGAGCTCCAGATGTATCTTTGCTTATGCTCTATGTTAATAATAAGTTTTCAAAAAGCAACCCCCAAAACATGATGCTTGAGGGTGCTCCTTTTAATATTTAAACACACTGGACAGAATAAATAAATGCCACTTCTGTCTCAGATAAGTAAATTGGTGATATCAAATCACAGAGAAGAAGAATTTATTGCTTCTGCGTTTTTGAATTATATGTCAATAACTGAGGAAGCACAAATACTATACAATCACTGGTTTCAATGACTGTCAATAATGATACTCAGTGCTTTTTTTTCTGGGGGGATGCAGGGGGACGCACACCCCCTAAACATTTTGTGAATCTAAGTTTGGCCTCATTGAGGGGCAGTATTTCAATATGACTAGGAAAATGAGAGTACCCCTAAAGATTTTTTAAGAAAAAAAGCACTAATGATACTATAGCTGTGATTTCAAGTTATTAAAAGTAATGCTGGGAATAAGCATTTACAAGAGGTAGGAGGGGTTTTGGGGTGCCTGTGTGAGGTCGCCCCGACGTGGTTAATAGAATACTGGGAAATTATGTTTAATTAGTGGGCTTCAGCAATGGTGTGACTATTATATGAAGAGAAGTAATATCAAGAAGAATTATACAAATGAAGGCGGTATGTCATTTACTTGCAATCAAGGCTGCTAAAAGACTCCTTGAGGAGAATCCATTAGCTTGCTTTCCACCTAAGCCCAAGGGGCACAGGTTAATTCTGGAAGAAAAGGAGACACCAAGTTATTTGCAGTGGGTTGGAGAACTACATGTTGCTTCATGTTCCTGGGGGAAGTAAAGGAGTGCCTCACGTTAAAATGAATTGCCAGACCAGGGAGGCCTTCAGCAGCTCCTCTAGGTCAGATGTAGATGCACCATCATGTGTGGGTAGGATTATGGTGAACAATTAAAATAAATGTAGTAATATGGAGTTAAATACTAAAAGCTAGTCCATTGCTCTATTGCAGGGGTTTTCTTTGCTCCATAGGTAAAGGGACCCCTGACCATTAGGTCCAGTCGTGGCCGACTCTGGGGTTGTGGCACTCATCTCGCTTTACTGGCCGAGGGAGCTGGCGTACAGCTTCCGGGTCATGTGGCCAGCATGACTAAGCCGCGTTTGGCGAACCAGAGCAGCGCATGAAAACGCCGTTTACCGTCCCACCGGAGTGGTACCTATTTATCTACTTGCACTTTGACATGCTTTCGAACTGCTAGGTTGGCAGAAGCTGGGACTGAGGAACGGGAGCTCACCCCGTAGCGGTGATTCGAACCGCCGACCTTCTGATCAGCAAGTCCTAGGCTCTGTGGTTTAACCCACAGCGCCACCCTGTGGGTTTCCACCTTCTTTGCTACATACCTGGTCTTTATTATATGAAAGAAGCAGGATGTGCAAAAAAATGAGCTGTGGAATGATCCTGTTCAATGTTCTAGCCAGCAAACCATCCCCCCCCAGGATATTTTATTTCCTCTCCAGCTGATTTCCCATTTCCTCATCAACAGTATTGTGTGCCCACAGAGCATGCTCAGCCCATACTGTAATGTTTTGACCCACTCATTTGTCATAGCCCTCCTCTGAACATCTGATACCGCCTTTCTGTTTTCAGTGGCCCATTGTTGGTTGTCATCATGTCCCACTCAACTCACCAGCTGAACTTGCTATTAGACAATGATTTCAATAAAGTTGTCTGATCTCATCACGAGCTTAAAGGTACTTAAAGGTATGTCACCTACATGTGATCAGGGTAGGTAGCAGCTACTGTATTGTGCCCTCATGTGGCCTGCAGCACATACACACACAGAATATATTGTGTGATGAGAGGCCTAAACACATACGTTTGTAGGTACTGTATGAAACATAGTTGTTGTATGAAGAGCTGTCACTTTAAAGACGACTGGACTGAAGAATGATTTATTTAAGTCTACTCACCCACCAGTATATGTGCAGCTAGAAATTGCGGTCATGTATAAGGAATTCATTTCTACCCCAAATCAATATGCCATATGAATTCACTGTTTCCTCCTGTCTTCCACTCACCTGTCCTTGTGCATTAGTGACTAGTTGACCTGTGACCCCCTGTAGACCGGAGAGTGCATTGCCAAAGGCCTGCGAGCTGGCTATGGAGCCCATGGCGGCGGCTGCCGCTGCTGCCGCTGCTTGGCTTGCTAGAGGATTATTAACCAGCTGGAAAAAAAGGAAGAAAAGAGCAATACGTAAGGCCACTCATAGCAACTCAGCTGCTACATACCTATATACTGCTAATGGATCTTAGGGTATCAGCGTGATGGGAAAGTACCGTTGATCTGAAAATCTCACAGTGTTTAGAGAGCCTGTTAGATTATGTGCATTATCGGCCAGTTTGAACCCAAACTCTTTACAAGTCCTGCTAGGATCAGCTGAAATGATTCCACATGAAGTGACTCATTGTCAAGAGGAACATGCCCAAAGAATCTTTTCCATCTGCAGGGACTTCTTCACTTGAGGGTTGTTGTTGTTTAAATTTATATAGCCGCCCTTCATCCGAGGATCACAGGATGGCTTACAGTTTAAAAACACAAAAATACTTAACATAATAACAAACAAAACAGTACCCCCAGCATGGTTTAAAAGGCCATAGGTTGTTTAACTGGCCAAATGCCTGGGACAAGAGGAGTATTTTTTCCTGGCACCTTAAGAGATGTAATGAAGGCGCCAGCTGAGCTACTGCAGAACAGGCCCATTCTCACATTGCCACCCTCTGAACCTTTCATGGAGGAGGCACATGAAGAAGGACCTCAGATGATTGCAGAGTCTGGGTCGGTTTATATGGGGAGAGGTGGTCCTTGAGTTACTGTGGTCATGAGCTGTTTAAGGCTTTATAGATCGAAAGCAGCGTTTTGAATTGGGCCGGGAAGCTAATTGGCAGCCAGTGCAGTCAGGCCAGTATTGGTGTAATATGATGAAACCATCTTGCCCCGAATTCTGCACCAGCTGAAATTTCCAAACCATCTTCACAGGCAGCCCTACATATATCGTATTGCAGTAATTCAGCCTAAGATAGGGGGTACAGCTGGGCCACCAGCCGAAGCTGATGGTAGGCACTCCGTGCCACTGAGGCCACCTGAGCCTCAAGCAATGGATCCAGAATGGACCCAGAAGGACCCCCAAGCAGTATACCCACTCCTTCCGAGGAAGCGCAGCCCAGGGGTCTCCAAGCTTTCCTTGCCTTGGGTCGGTGTCTCGAGTGAGGGTGGGGGAGCGCGCGCCGTAAGCACACACTATTTTCGGTGCACTTATGGGTTGGAGGAGCACCAGAAATAGCTTGTGCACATGTGCACAGGCCTCCTCCGACCTGGATGTGCACCAGAAATAGTGTTTGCGCATGACCCTATTTTCGGTGCACATCCGGGTTGGAGGAGGCCTGTGTGCATGCGCACAAGCTATTTCCGGTGCTCCTCCGACCCGGAAGTGGGTCCCAGAGCTGCAGGTGGCAGCAGGCGGCGGGCCGGATAAACTAGTCCCTCTGGCCTTATCCGGCCCCCGGGCCTTAGGTTGGTGACCCCTGGCATAGCCCCATCAAGAGCAGGCAACCTTCCATCCACTTGTATAACCACCCACTAACAGTGCCTCAGTTTTATCTGGACTGAGCTTCAGTTTGTTGGCTCTCATCCAGTCCATTACTGAGGCAAGACACTGGTCCAGCACTTCCACTGCCTCACCTGCAGATGTAAAGAAGTAGGGCTGTGTGTTATCAGAATATTGCTGACAATGTACCCCAAAACTCTGGATGACTCCACTTAGCGGTTTCGTGTAGATGTTAAATAGCATGGGGATGAAATTGAGCCCTGAGGAACTCCGCATTGAAAGCTCCACGGGGCTGAAAAGCACTCCCCTCTGGGAGCGACCATCCAAGTAAGCACAGAACCACTGCAAAGCAGTGCCACCCGCCCTCAACTCAGACAGCTGCTTAATTCTCACTAAATTTCAGTAAGTTAGTATTATTATTATTTTATTAATTGCCTTCTAAACCACCACCTCAAGGTGATTTACACAGAAAATAGTTAAACACAGTTTAAAATAAAAAACAAATAAGACTAAAACCCTGAACAATATTCTGTTTTCTTAAAAGTACTGTGCACAGTTGTTTGACACAGGAAATTTGCGGCTTCCTAGGATTATAATAATCAATTCACATGTTATTTAATACTTTTTCCTACTAAAGAGAGGAAACCTGTTTTTGCATTTAAATTTAGTAGCTTAACATCATAGAAATATGTAGACCATAATATCAAAAGGTTTGGTTTTTCCAGTGACTTTAAAAATAGCTGGTTTTCACAGATATCTGCTCATTATATACATTTGTTGTGGCTGAGATATTTGCTGTCTAAATCTACTTAAAATCAAATCTACTGCTCTCAGGAATAAGTTCTGATAGGGATATTGCTGATGCAACCTGACTTGATTCAATATGAATTGACACAACCTGAGGTGATGAGAACAGCATATCCTTCAACATACATCCTGGTTCCACTCATTATGTGGCAAAGATTATGGGTGGTCTCCAGCCATTTTTAGTGTGATCAAATTAGAAACCTAACCAAAATGCTGCCACCCCAAAGCAGCCCTGAAACAAGTGATTCCCAGCTGTAAATGTATTTAAGCAGCATTATTTTTAAAAGAGTGTTCTTTTGTGAGGATGTTGTTGCATATCCACATATGCTGATAACGTATGATTAGGATATAAATGTGATAGAAGAAAGTTAAGGAATGCTTTTGGGACCCGGTCCAGACTCACATTATCAGGGGAAAGGGGTGCATATTTGCTGGTCAAATATGTAAGTTGATAAATTACTAAGAAAATAATAATTTATTTCCGCTCAGTCAATGCACAGAAGAGAGCCATAGCTAATCTCCTGTTGAGAACAGGAATATATGTAAAAATCTTGATCCAAGAAAGACAATCATATTTTCCTATCTGTTTGAGATTCCCTAACTGTGTGTCTTATTTTGTATGTTAATTGATTGTTTGATTGTGAGATCTGTTGATTGGATCAATAAATTCATTGATTGACATACATTTTGAAATGCATTATATCTAAGGCATTTTATGCGTATCCCTAAAAAGGCAAAGTGTCATTGCAGGCCATCGGTAGTGTTTGGGCGCCACTTGATGAATCAGGGCACAGGGTTAATGGCAAGAAGATCTTTGTTGGGCTGGGTCCTTCATTTTTGCAGCTTTTCAGACCTTCATACTAGTCATCTATCAGAGCACTGTACAGTAACAAACACAATTTCATGAGTCATACTATATGATGGCCAGGCAGCGATACTAACCATACAAGAGTGTATCTAACTAACATGCTGGATCAGAATTATGTTTGGGGCCGACACACAAAATAAGCACAATACCTGTGATGTAGCGCTGGCACAAGTGTGTGTGTGCAACTTCCAGATGGTGCTTTGATGATGCAGTAACTCAGGCGAAACAAAATGTACAAAAATTCCAATTCTGATTTTATTTGAATATTGTGCAAACATTCTCTCTCTCCCTTTGTCACCACTGGGCCTACAGCTCTTGCTTTGGCACCCTCAGCCGTTCCCAGGGGTGTCAACTTGAATAAAATAGTGTGGGGGCCCAGATAAACATTGATCACCTGATGCAGTGCACACAGATCATTTGAATGGGAATTCCTATCAACTTTGTGGGGGCCTGGCCCCCTCCAGTCTTTTATTGTGGGGGCCTAAACCCCCGGGCCCCAGGAGTTGTCTCCTATGGCTGTCCCTGTTTCCTCCCTGGATCTGCTGGATCCTACAAAGATCCCACAAGATCTATACAATCAAGGATTACACCAATGAGGATGTCACTGTAGGAAAATGAAGGCAACTGAAAATGAAGATAAGTGAGGTCAATGTGGATGAAGAAATTAATATTTCTGAATTGAAGAACTGCCAAAATGGTGAGCTGTTTAGGGTTCTGTGAAAAACTGAGTAGTTTTGACTCAGCTTCAGGTGAAATGAGAACGAAGTTAGAATCCAAATAAAGAAATACGTATACAATTCTTTGTCAACAAAAACACCCTATTTGTTTTTGTGCTAATTAGAACGATATTGTCACAGGCTGCAATTTTTGCTCAGCTCTAGAGACTGAATGTCATACGAATGATTCTGCTATAACTGGAGCTGTATATGAAGGGAATGTCCAAGAATTGATGTGGAAATTGTTTCCACAGAGAACCCTCCCTCCTCTGCAGACTTTCATGAGATTCAGTGCCAGCAAGACACCTACTGCCAAAATGAGCTCCAAGTCCCGCTACGGAAGTTGCTCTGTCAGGGGTCTATTAGAGAGGCTACATAGGGCTTACAGTTACTGGGTAGGGTTGGGACCAGTTCAATTTCAGGCCTTAACAACAAGGTAATTTCAGGTGGAGTTTTGTTAAAGCTATTTTAAGAAGCTCAGGAAACGGCACACCGGGTGTTCTGAATTCTTAGTGTTCTTGAATCCTTAATGTATTTTGTGCAACTTCTATCTGTCACCCATTCATGCTCCAAAGCTGAATTTATTTAATTTTTTATTGCATTTTACTCTTGTCAGCTTTGTTCAGTCAAAGTCACAATTTGGAAATCTTTTGATGAGGACGGTTGCCGCATGAACAGAGCACCCCTGAGAGCACGAGTGTCAGATCAGGGTCAGTGTGGGAAAAGTACTGGTTCCTTGCTCCCTGGGCCATCATTACTGTTAATATGAGGAGGGAACTGAAGGTTTGTCAAACCAGCCAGAAAGCTGTAATGAGTAACTTGCTAGCTGCATCTTATCAAACTGGAAGACAGGTGAGCCACAGGACACAATAGGATGCCACTTTCCCACGATTTCTGCATCACCTCAATGTTTCTGGCTCAGCAACTTGTGAGGACATGACTGGCGGCTGATGGGAGTTAAGAGCCCAGCAATATCTAGAGAGCAACAGACTCTTCCTTGACCAGATACAGTTGCAAATATAACATTTTAAGTCTGTTTTAAGTGCATTATACAAATGGGACACTAGATGGTGATGGTAAGCTAATGGCAAATTCAATATATGTATATATTTAAAGCATTTTCACAGTGTTTTTTTTATATGTGCTAGATTCCACCCTAGGCTAAGTGGCTGTAT